ATGTGTCAACATGCATAAAATCCAGCTGAATGTTGGACAAAATAAACTAGCTACAGAACATATATCCTGTGGGATAACATTTATGTAAATGTAAAAACACTTGAAAAGATAATCAAGTATTTGTGTTGATGGACAACATATAAATCTAGTAGTAGATTTATGATTGGCCTCTCGTAGTTTTCTGTGTTTGGAAATAATTCATAATGAAAGACAGCAGAAGAACAAGAGGTACGCACACACACACATAGCAGTGGAATAACATTCTGGAACTGGAGGAATCTGAGCACAGACACAGACGCTGGGAGCGCTGTGGCTGGGCGCCTCTCCCATGCTGCCTGCCGGGTTAGCTGTGTCTTCTGAGCTGTTCCAAATGGTAACTGGCCGAGTGCCCAGCCCGTGTGTGGTGTCTCAAGCTTTCTGGACATTTCAGCTTTAGGAGTTTAGCATCACGATTTGGGAAGTTAGCTTTAAAATAGGGGAAATGAGCCTGCTTCCTCTAAGTGACCCTGCTGGCAGATGTCTAGAGTCACGAGATGAAGGATGATCTGCTTTTTTGTCAAAGTGACTTCTCCAGGCACTGCTGGCTCTGGCAGTGGTGCAGAGGCTTCTGCCAGCTGCCCCTAGCCCAGGGGAAGGAAGCCCACCCCACTCTGTGGTCAGTGCAGTGTGCAATGTCCATGCTAGAAAGGGCAGAGTCTAAGCCTCCTTTGGTCCCTGGACCCACTGGTTCCTTGAGGTGCCCTCACTGAGTGAGGCTTGTGTCTGTGCGCCTGCTTGAGCAGACACTGCCCCAGAAGCGAAGGAAGCTGAGCCATGGCATATCCTTTGTTGGGAAGCCCCTACCCTCAGCAGCCACTTTTGGAAAAGAGCAAAGTCAATGGGAGTTGGTTGTGCAGCTTCCAGAAAGAGAGACTGTGCGTCATGTTAAGTACACTACCTTTGATGAGGGTTATTTGGATTCTGGAAGGAAGTCTGTTGTGACATCAGTCATGAAAGGAGCCCTGAGAATTTAGCTCTTACAAGCAAGATGTTTGCTATATATAGCATGAAGAAAAGTCGTTAGTTGGAAACAGCTTAGGGCTGTGTTGGTGGGATAATAAGATTTAAAGTCCAGAAGGGGCCTTATGATTATCTGAGTTAAACCTCTTGTGTTGAAGATAGAATGGGGCTTGGCAAAGATTCTCTTCTTGACCAAGCTCTAGTCAGGATCCTCTGAGCCCTTTTCACCTAGGGCCAGTCCTTAGATATGTCCTCAAGAGCCCATTTTTAGCAACAGTCCTGCTAAGTGAGTTTAGTCAGAATCCCCACCACCCCTCACAATATCCCACTGTGGGATATCACAATATTCCACAATATCTAATCAAAGTCCTCATCCCCAACCATAACCCAGGTGACATCTAATCACACCAGCCTGCCTTCAGCAAGAATTTTGTCAGTCAGCAAAGAATTTCCACACCTTCTTATTAATGTTCTATCCACTGACACCGACCCTTCTCTTTGGTTTTAAGTTCCTACATTTTCCTTAGTGTATTTGAAGTATGGCCTAATCTCCCTTCTCTATTTCAAAACCTCCTTGCTGTGGTCCCTATGCCTGTTGCTATAGTCCTGAATTATGTCTGCCTTTCCATTTTAAGAAGTGTCAGGGTGATTCTTTCTTTAACAGACTTAGAGAAGACTTTTCCAGGGCAACACTTTGAGTACATTTCAGAGTCATTTCTTTAGATTCCAAGTTCAATGTTCTTTCCCCACCTGGTGCTGTCTTTGTGCCTTCAAGACTGTAGAATTAAGAAGCAGTTTGTTCTATAAAAATGTTTTATTTGTATTAAGAAAAATATACTATTGACAGTCTCTTGAGATTATGGTATGTCTTCTCCCCTGCCCTGGGTAGAATAGGAGATAAGAATGACTGGTCATTTAACCTTGCTTCTAGTGTCATTTAACCTGATGCTAGATCCTTCCCTGGCACCAGATGCTAAAAGACTTTACCACTCTGCAAATTGTGCCAGCGTCTGAAGTACCAGGTATGTTTTTTAGGTGTGGTTCTCTGTTGAGTTGTTACTGGACATCAGAAGGTGTTCAAGAACATGTGAGTAGATTTAGACAGCTTCATGTATTCATTAACCCTTGCAAATGAAAACAAAGCAAAACAATACAGAAATCAGTAGATTTTCAGCACTTACTTAGTACCATGTATGGTACAATGCATTGGGCTGTTATAAGAAATGGCTTTTTGCTCTTGGGGAAGTATAGTTGAGGAAAAAGTTACAGAATAAATAGTATGATCACAACAATAGGATAAACACTAGAATAGTAAAATGTGTGAGGTAGTACAAGAACACAAAGGAAATGGTGATTAATTCTCCAGTGAGAAAGTTAGAAGGAGGGTGATAATAGAGTGGAGAATAAAGATTAGAGAGAAATTTACTAAGTAAACGAGATAGGGGATAGAGATAGTTCAGACAGAAGGGAATGCTGTGCCACAAGTGTAGGCAACAGAAAATCAGGACATTCAGGAGTTGAATGAGGCTGGAGAGGAAGGGGCAGAGGAGCCAGTGGCCGGAAATGGGTCTATTAAGGAAAGTTACACCCAGACTTTTCAAGACTAAGCTGGAAAGATGCAACTTCACTGCGTGTAGGCAGTGGGTGATTACTACCAGCGAGTAAGGCGGACAGATCTGTGTGTTGATATATAGCCTGATGACAGCATGAGGATTGGTGGGAGGGGGAGAAGGTTGAAGAAGAGCATCTGATTGGGGGATTGTTGCAAAAACGATGATGCACTAGCCACTGCATTGAAATGAGGATGAGATCAGGGGTCTCAGTTATTTAGGAGATAGAATCATTAACACCCAGAGACTGAGCTGGGTTCGAGAGATAAAGGCAAGGATTTCTCTCATTGGCAGTGATTCCTAGTGCCTAAGGTAGACAGGAGACAGAAGATAAGAATTCAGTTTTTGGGGGATGATGATTAAAGTTAGCATAACCAATGACCATGTGGGGTCTGTAGCCTAAGGAAGGGTTAGAAATACTGACGTTTTGTTTATTCAGTAAAAGTGCCAAGTGTGCATGATGTGTAAAGACGTTCTGTACATTTTGGAAAAAGACATGAATGTCCTTTGTATTTTTATTTATATATATATATATATATTTTTTTTGACATTTCCGAATGCCTACATCTTGTTAGGAAGTTTTCAACATGTTGTATTTTTTATCCTTGTAAATGCCTTGTAAGATTATATTATCCCCATTTTTTTTGAGTAAGAAATTTGAGGCTCCAGCAGATGAAGTAACCTGCACTTGGTCATGAAACCAGGGATCTGCCCATCTAAGAATGAACCAGAGTTTGCTGTGCCCCAAGTTCACATTCTTTCCTGTTCCCATAGCATTCTCTGAATTTCCTTGTCCTTGGGGACCTTATGTTGTGGCGAGGGAAACAGAATATAAGGAAACTAATCATGACAATATCAGAAAACCTGAGAGTACATTTCATGTACAGTATGTGCTTTGGGTATACAACAGATGGGGACCTTTGTACTTGTGCAGAGGAGACATGAGTGGCAACCAGGGAGGCCAGTGAAGGCTTACCAGAGGTGAGGGTGGGTATTTAAGTCAGGCCTGGGACACTTGGCTTATAAAGCTAAGCTGTGGGCCAAGGCAGAAGCAGATTAAAGTTAGAAGGTGGGTAAATCAAGAAAGATTAGATTAGAAGGTAATGAAGGAAAGGGCAAGAGCAGGTAGTTACTGTTACTAGGAGAGCACAGGGCCAGAGTCGGAATGCAGGACCCTGAGGTCACCTGGCTGTGGAGATGACGAGTAGTCCTCTGTGGCTTTCTTTTTTTTTTTTTTCATTATCTTAGTTTTTTATATCATTTGAAATTGAACCATATAGGACTTTTTCAGCACGCTGCCTTCTTGACTCCAAACCAGCTTTCTTTTAAAAATACCCTCCCTGGCCTCCTGCAAATTTCAGTATCTATTAAAATAATTTCTAACTAATGCACCTCTATAATAATCACATAATATGAAATGAAAAGATAGCTACTCCTTAGGAATCCTGAGTGAGATTTCAAAAGCTGCAATCTTATACATGGGAATGAATGGCCTGAAGCTCCAGTGGGAGAGATTTCCTGAGTCTAGCTAAGGAAGGGGATGGTAGACAGAATGAGAACCTGGTGATACTGGTCCTGAAAAGGGAGGGAGGTGTGTGGGGTGGGGGTGGGGAAGTGAGGCGGGAGCAGCAGGAAGCTTGGCTTCTTGAATCCACTTCTGGGTACTGGCTGTCCCTCCTGCTTGGAAAGGAGAGAGGCGGGATGGAAGGGAAGAGGCCTGTGGATTGGTTGGCCTGCCCTGGCTCGTGGTCTTGGTGTAAGGTCAGAGCCCTGAAAATTAGACCCAAAGGAGGAACAGGTAGCCAGCAGGATCACTGGACTGCAGAACTAATGGTAGCTGCTCAGTGTTGCTGGCTCTTCCCCCTGATGCACCATTGCTCCTGTGTGGGTGTGGCCGGGATTGGCTGTTGGATCCCATGAGGCTCCTGGATGCAGCACTTCCTGCCCTCCTGAGGGTCTCCTGGTTTCAGGCTCAGTAGAGGAGCGTGAGGTTGGTTGTACCTCAGGAGAAGGTCTGGCATTTTCCCCCACTTTCCCCCGGCAGGGACTCGGGCCTCTCCCCACAGAGCTCTGGGAGGACAGAAGGCTGAGCAACAGAGGCAGCCTACCTTCACAGCTCCTGTCACCACACCACTTCACAAAGGGCAGGAAAGTAGGTCTCTGAGAAAGACTGGGAACAAAGGGGAGCAAGCTTAGGTAGTAAGCAGATGCATTAGTCTAATTGCTGTTCTAAAATTAATGGGGCTTTTTATCTCAGAGGAACACTTTTTAAACACTCATGTAATTTGGGAACAAAGATGCAGGTCGGAGTAGAGCTGAGCTCCCCTTGAAACACAATCCCCCATTTGGTAAAACAGTCTTTTCCTTTCTTTCTTCCTCTCTTACCTGCAGATCAACAGATTATGGCACCACCTATGAAAAGCTGAATGACAAAGTGGGTTTGAAGACTGTCCTCAGTTACCTGTACGTCAACCCCACCAACAAAAGGAAGGTAAGAAGGGGATCACTGGGTCCTGAGCACTGCCTGTGGAGTGGCAGGGAAGCCAAAGGCCAAGAGTTAAGAAAAAGACAGTAGCCATGGAGTCACTTACAGAATGTCTATTTTATATGTCAAGAACACCACAGACACTGTAATTCAAACAACTGCCTTGAGATAGTAGTGACAGTAATAATAACAACAACAATGGTAAAATGATGTAATTGTTCTAGGAGCGTCTCTGTGCTGAGGAGGGCTTGTGCTGTGTGCTTTACACACTTTATCTCATGTATTCTCACAATGAATCTCTAGGGTACAAATGATTGCTGTCCCCATTTTGCAGAGGAAGAAACTGAAGCTCAGAGAGTGTAAGTAACTTTCTAGCCTAAAGCCAGACAGTAGCAGATAGTATCGTGATTAACAGATCTTGGATTTGAGAATGGGTTGGCTTGACTCTGGGCTTCCCAGGTGGTGCAATGGTAAAGAACCCGCCTGCCAATGCAGGAGACATGTGAGAGATGTGGATTCTATACCTGGGTTGGGAAAATCCCCTGGGTAAAATTGTATAAGGTCAGACTTTGGTCACAGAGACCTCTTGGAAGAAGGGGGCCTGGGTTCCACAGAATGATGGATGGTTATAGAAAATAAGTGTTGTATGATCTGTTGGCTGTGGGGGGGATGTGATCTTTCCCCAGCAATGAAGGCACTCCTATTCAGAAACTTAGGCAGGCCAGGCCCCAGAGATACCCCAGAGATATGAAAGGCCATTTCAGGATTTCTAAAGGACTGAAAATGGCATTGCACTGCCCAGCTCTCCCCTTGCCATCTGATGTTTACTCCCCAATGGTCTTGGAAACCTTTTCCTTATTGAGGTAGGTCCAGGGGTGATCTTCAACCCATTGTTCAGGTGGCCCTGATTTCTGATTCCAATCTGTCAGAGTCCAAACTGTGATAGAGAAAAATGATTGCCAGTGCTACTCAAAGCAGAGCAACTTGGACTCAAACCCTTAGCTCAAATCCTAGAGCCAACCCTTGTTGTCACTCCCACCTAACTATCCCCAGTGAAGGGAGGAGCAGAATTGGTGACTGTCTCCTGGATCAGCACTGGTGGCTGGTGCTCAGAGATCCAGCAGCTCCAGGGGTGCCCATACCTGGGAGTGTGCCCACCAGCCAGGTGCCAAAAAACTGATAATCAGGATGGCTGCGTACATGCCTGTTCCTGGTTTTAGCTGAGTAGTTTCTCTTTTCTTTATCACAGAGGGTTGTCATTTTCCCATTTTTCAATATTGTTATTTGAATTATTGAATGTTAGACCTGGGAGGAATCATAGATTTCATCTGAACAAGCAGTTATTGATGGTTTTTGAATTGCAACTCTCGGCAAATGGGTTTAAAGCTCTAGACCTCCTCTTAGACACATACCTCTACACACAAAATTTTGCTAAGAATTTTTGGATGTTAATGAACACCCTTGATCCCACCTCTTGACCCAAGATGTCCATGGAGTCTTGGTTAAGAATCTTTCATGTATACGAATAGTCTCAATTTCCAGATAAAGAAACTGAAGCCAGGAAAGCCCCCAAAGCCAGGTGAAAAAAGGAGCCAGAGTAAGAGCCCAGGGCTCCTGATGTTCAGTCCAGGTTTCCTGGCTTCAGACCATGTTTTGCTCCTTTTCCTTCCATACAGTCACAGCCCCAGGCTCTAAAACTGATGGTCTAGTCCTGACCTGGGAGCTTGAGGCAGCTTGCTTAATGATCTGGAATTTAAGCTCAGTGCCATGTCCATGATGGACACGTGATTAAACTTGACTGAATCAAGTCAGCCATGATCATCTCCACTCTGCCTTATCCTTTTATTAAGAAGGAAGCTGAGTGCTGCGGAGGACAAATGTCCTTCCCATGTCACTCAGACAGTCAGCGGCAGGATGGGCAGTTTGTTTTTAACTCTCAACATAAAGCTCCTCCCACCCACGCAGTGATTTGGGATCAGGTGAAATCACAAGGAGTGTCTGCACTCTGGGAGAAGAAAGAAGTAGGAGTTTGACACATGGCAGATGTCCTTCAACAATGATCTCTCACCTATGTCTGGACCACAATAAAAGTAACCATATCTTCATGGAGATGATAGATCAGCTGTCTTTGTAAGGATTTTCTCAAGGGGCATATGAAGAGTCATGCCTGTTTGCATCCATTCTGGTAGTCATCTGTCACATATGTTTTCCATTAGACTCATACTATCTTTCAGTTTTCTGCCGTTTTTCTCTATCCTAGTTTATCTCTTCTTAGTATAACCTACAGATGGTCAGTAGTGTGGAAGACAAAGGGAGGATAAGGCAAATGATGAGGGTTAGAAAGAACGTAAAGCTAGGCTTTGATGCCCACTGGTGCAGAAGGCACCTCCATTTCCCCGTCCCAGAGATGATGTTCAGACCATGGGATCTCTGGAGCAATTTCTCAGAGGAATTTTTGCCCAGTTAACAAAGGTTAAGCCAATTATGGGCTTCCTAGGTGGTGCTAGTGGTTAAGAACCTGCCTGCCTGCCAATGCAGGAGACATGAGAGATGTGGGTTCGTTCCCTGGGTCAGGAAGATCCCCTGGAGAAGAGCATGGCAACCCACTCCAGTATTCTTGCCTGGAGAATCCCATGGACAGAGGAGCCTGGTGGGCTACAGTCTATAGGGTTGCACAGAGTCAGACATGGCTAAGTGACTAAGCGTGTGCACACATGCATGCATGCACACACACACATGTTTTAACTTCGTAAGAAACTCCCAAACTCTTTCCAAAAGGCCATTTTGCCTGTGTTTTCAGAGAAACACCACCAAAACACAGTTAAATCCCATGTGAGAGGCACTGCCACCCAGAAAGCTAAAAGTGCAGATATTTTCTGCACTCAGATTAGGAAGAGACAAAAGATTAGCTAGTGCCATGGATTTGCTGATTTATTTATTTTGAAACTAGCAGTAGAAATTGACTTCATAAGGACACTGAGTGATCCTGAAGTGCTTTCTGAATCATCCAAGGAGTGATGAAACTAAATTCTGTTTCATTTTATTGTTAAGTGTTTTTGATTGTATCCTGAGCCTCAAGATGTTGGCAATGCACAAATATTCTATGTGGTGACTTTCTCTTAACCAGAATGTTCAAGTTTACTAGACCTACACTTCTCAAGCCACTCAGGAAAAATGATAGTTAGATGTAAATGAAAATACCCTTGTATGCTTCTTTACTGGTGTAGTGCTATGTGGGTCATTATGACCTTATAATGCAACTTTTTAAAAAGGTCCCATCTTACCTGTTTCTCAGAGTTTAAACCAGTGGTCATCTGAATTCTCATCTGAGTTTGAATTAAGCAAGATTCTTTTGATTCTCTCAGCGTTCAAATTATCTGTAGCTCCCGATGTTCATCAAGCAGCTAATGGAAGTAGTTTCCAGCAGATTTTTCAGTTAATCTTGTTGAAGGAGTGACTTTTCACCTAATGAGTTACTTATGTAGCATATGGATACTGCTTTCCCTGGAGGCTGTGAGTACATCAGAGTTCTGTCACCCTTAGCAAGACAGTAAAGTGTGCTCGTATTTATATAGTTGTTCCCAAAGCTAATTGTTGATGTCTTAACACTTTTTTTGACAACATAAAATTTCCCAGTGTAGATAGCTAATAAGCTATTAGGTTGAAAGTAGAAATGTTGATGTGTGTAGAGTCTCCTACTAGTATTAATCTTAGTTAGCATTAATTGAGCATCTACTATACTCAGATCCTTTTAAGGATCTTTATCTGTATAATTATCAGTCCTCCCAGCCACTTTAGAAAGCAGGCAAGATAAGGAAAAAGCCTCTCTGTAAATCACACCATGCTTGTTATACTTGTAAATGGTGAGTCTTCAAGAGTCTTCCCAGGTTTATTTATAAATAAAGGTTTATTTGGGGGATGAATTAGGAAACATCTGGCAATGCTAGACTCCTTTAAAAGTGAAAGTGAAGTCACTCAGTCGTGTCCAACTCTTTGGGACCTCATGGACTGTAGCCTACCAGGCTCCTCCATCCATGGGATTTTCCAGGTAAGAGTACTGGAGTGGGTTGCTATTTCCTCCTTCAGGGGATCTTCCTGACCCAGGGATCGAACCCAGGCCTCTCACATTGTAGGCAGATGCTTTACCATCTGAGCCACCAAGGAAAATACTCCCTTAAGGAAGCTGCAGTTTGGACTAGTTGTATCTAAATAGAGTATAGATGTGAAATGCTGGGAACTACTTGAGTTGAAGTTGTTCTAGACCATCCTGTAGTGCCATCAGCATTGTTTTAATGGCATTGATCTGCACTAGTTGTATTCGATGTGATTCTGCATTTCTTGCTGTTTCCCTTTCTCTGGCCATTTCCTGGGTGATGTCTGAGCCTGGTACTTTGAGCTTGAAGACCGGTGCATTAGTTTCTGATGCGTGTGTGTGAGGTTTGCCTCTGGAGGAGCCCTCTGTTCTGGTGGTGTCTGAGCTCCAGCTCACAGCCTCCCCTTCTCTTTGTAGGAGATAAACATCCCTGGGTTCCTGGAACTCATTACCGTCAACTGACTCTGTCCACAGACCCATGCAGAAGGACACATGCCAAGGTTAAAAGCCTGCATTTACTGGCACTGTTCTTCATAAAGCAGGCTAAAGTCTTTGTGCCTCAACAAGAGAGGGGCTCAGCTATCATGGGTGCCTATTTAAGAACAAATCTTTGAGTGGATAGAGAAATGCAGGCGGGCTATGGCCTAATTGCTCTGGCTCGAAAGCGGCTGCCACCTGCAGATTTGGAAACAGTGTTTTGGAAACGACAGAGAACACAGAAAGTCCTGACTGCCAGGGAATGTGATCAAATTGCTGCAGGGTAGAGGTGTGTGTGCCTGTGTGTGGGGATGGAGTGAGGGAGGGTGTGGGAAGACGGTAAGCACTGATATCAGAAGAGAATAAGGACTTTTTTAACCTGAGCTCCTAATAAGTTCTGGGCACTGGGCTAAGCTCATTTCTACATTCAGTTTTT